CCAGCCAACATCAAGGGGGTAGCGCAAGGAAGCCTTTTGCCGGATTCGGACCGGCGACCTTTCGCTTACGAAGCGAATGCTCTGCCCCTAAGCTAAGAAGGCTGACGACCTCCGGCGCACAACCTAAGCTCAGATTGGACGATAGAACGCGTAAGACCCTCAAAGGGCAATACGATTTCGATCTTCGTTGACGCATCGGATGTGCAAGCTGGAATGGTGGTTAGATACAATGACCAGACGGTCATGACCGAATCGATTCCGCTAACGAGGACATTGACGAATCTTACCTCGTATAAGGAGATTCAGGGAGCATATAAACTGCTAGCAAGATACAAGTCGGCGATAGATTTCATCGACAAGGGAGCAAGGAAGATCATTATCACCGACAACATGAGATTGTGGCAGGCATTAGAAAGGCATGAAGAACCAAGAAACGACTTGGAAGTATATGCCGCGAGAATCCGTGCTCTTTACAAGGCCACATACCAGCACATTCCAGGAGGCCTCAATCCGGCCGATTTTTATTCGAGGAGACACCGTCTCCTCACTTAAAAGCTTTTTAATTATGCAATCATCATAATTTTTCTTCGATAAGTTCTTGTACATTTCTTATCTCACTTGACACTTCGAACTTGAGTACCTTATATAAAGACAATGGTGGAAACGCGCTCGACCATGGATGTCCACAAAGAAGCCAGAACAATAATCATTGAGGCGAATAAGTCGGGCAACATGGACGCAGTAAGGGTCCAAGCGATACCCCCCAAAGTCTGGGGAGAAGTTTGTACGACACTGGACTGTCAACGGCTCTTACAATATAATAGACTGCTACTACAGACCTCATTTATGAGGGAGATGGAAGCAATCATTGCGGAGAAGGAGAAGGCTGAACAACCAGCCTTCACCCACCGTAAAATACAAGAAGCCGTACCAGTACCAGTACCCGCGCAGGCGAGACCACCGATGCTCGATTTAACCAATGTCAACCAGCAGCAGCAGCAGCCGATGTTAGAAGAGGTCTACTATGCTGACAGAAGCTCAGACGGGCACAGACGCGACAGAAGGCACACGTTGACGACCGACGAATGGTCGCACATCGATTATTTAGTGGGAGACCCTGGTCAGATGTTAAACCAGTTGAAAGGCGTACGAATGTCACCAGAGAGAGCATTCGAAGTTCGTAATAAGATACTACGCAAGACACTGGTCGACCCAGAGATTGATGATTCGGACAAGTTGATAGCCAGAATCAACCAATTGATTGACAAGGGCCTCATATCGCACGACCTGTCGGTGAACATTTTGCTAAGTTGCATAGCGTACGGTAAAGAAGGTACTATGCAGAGAATCGAGTCCGGCCAGATACTTAAGCCACTAGGGGTATACAATGTTAGCTCGCGGAAACGACCCGAGGAACGCAAGACAAAACCCCAGGCTAAGCAGACCGCAGCGAACTCGACGCACAAGAAGAAATACCCAGGCAACAGTGCCAACCAGAACAGAAGAGGTAGTCTTCCCAAGACGACGGAAGCTACCAAGAACCGGTCGCAGGGGACTAAATAGGAACTCGGCAGGCGTCGAGATAAGATAGACGCCGAGCCAGTAGATGTTAAAGGTACAAATACGCTGAGTATCAACCACAGTACCTCTCGCATGCAAAGCGAGCGCTCTTCCCTTTGAGCTAGACGCCCACGTACGAGTCCGCAACAAACGGGGAAACCCGCATCCACACATTCACCCCCGAAGCTTTGTGGTCGCGTGAAGGACTAAATCGACTCTGATGGCGTGACCGGAGGGAGCCGCAGATCCGCGACCAACACATTGGACGACCTGAGTCTCGATTTCTATGCTTGGTTTTACAACCGCTTGCGGAGCTCGAACCCGCGACTGCAAGATTAAGAGTCTTGCGCTCTACCGACTGAGCTAAAGCGGCCGCAGTCTT